ATTAAAAAAATCAATGGATATAATATATATTAAATAATTAATTATAAGGGTATGAATTGTAAATATTAATTTTTTTTATGTAGTATGTATGATATATAATAAGATAAATAAATCAAAAAATATTCAATATTGGACCCATTTTAAAGGTATCGACGAGACGATTATAATGATGTAACTTATTAAAATTCAAACGTATTTTTTAACGTATTTTAGTTAATATACGATTATATGTATTAATATGATAATAATGTAAAATGAAAAATATAAAACTAGAAGGTATAAAGTAAATAATCATATAAGTATAAGGGTTTAAATTGTAAATATATATATATATATATATATATATATATATTTATATTAGTGTTTAATAGGGGAGTCAAAAGGTAAACTAGGGGGTCGAAAAAGAATGACCAAATACAAAATGTCATATGAGATTTGTAGGTACCTTATTAATCATATGAGATTCTAAAATTAAAATACATAGAAACTGTCAATAATCTTGACCAAATACAAAATGTTGACTATTGAAAAGTAAACCTAAGTCTGAACATGTAAAGTATCCTTAAGGGTTCACATTCAGAGAGATGTGATCATGTAAAAGCAACTCATCTTTGTAAGAATGTGAGAAAATTTATGGGCATTTTACTTGTGATGATTGATACGAACCTTCATTTACCTTTACAAACTTTTACTTATCTTATCTCACATATAGGGGTAAATTATGAGTATAGAAATAACATATTCAAGGTTAGAAAAATATTTTAATGTATCAAAGTATCAAACCCGACTAACCCAACCAACCCGTACGGTTTGGGTTGGGTTGCACTTTTGTTTGGGTAGGGTTGGGTTAAGATTTTTCAAACCGCAAACATTGGGTTGGGTTGATCAAATGTCTTCAACCCGATCAACCCAACCCATGAGCACCACTACTCACATACATGAATTTGTTAAGTTTTTTATTTGTGGTGATATAAATAAGTAAACAAAGATATATGAAAAGTAGATGAAAATTTGGGAATTTCAGGAACATGATCGGTAGCTGCTCGAGTTAATCAACCTTGGATAGAATGTTTTATTCTTGTAAAAACATTTAAAATATTTGATTAATAATTAAATATTATTATTAAATTATGTTATAATATTATCTTTTGTCTAATACATTCCTATTTTTTAGTATTAAGTTTGATGGTTAATAAATAGATGAATATGATTTAATAATATACTAGAAGAGTATTCGTGCAATATAGTAAGACACATCTTAAGTTTAATGTTTTATTTTATTATTTGTCTTTGTTGATGTTATAATACGATTTAATGTGTTTTTAAGAAAACAATAATGATTTTATTTTTGAATAAAATATAAATTTGAAGATATCATAAAATTTTGAGAAAAAAATATCAATGTTAAGATCAAATCAACTATTTAAAAGTTTTCATTTTTTTATTATAATTTAATTTAAGTTTAATAACGAAATAATTTAATCTTGGTATAATAATATGATATTTTAAAAAGATAATAATTAAGTATTCTGTTAGAACTCAATGATTATTTTAATTATATTTTAGATTTTTTATATTTAAAATGAGATGTTTATCATGTATTTGATTATGTTTATCTGCAGTTAGTTATACGAATTATAGAGCTTTAATAAGTTGTACTTACGCACAGTCTACTTGCAATCTTAAGTTTTAAGTAATATACATTAATAAACAGTACTTTACGCATAAAAATAATTTTTAAGAATTTTTATCAAATGCTTTATAATATCTATACTACATATATAAGCATTTAGACTCATATCTTAATTACAAACCATAAAGCACAAAGTACTGCCATTTTATGCATACATTTCAAAAAAACTCTTAATAACAACTCATGAAGCTAGATGTACAAGTTTTTTATGCTAAGCTTTTAAACCCAGGCAACCACCCAAAAACGGATGCTTCATAAGTTGCTTTCTTGCTTCAGTCCTCT